ACAAGCTTGTACGTATAACAGGGGCAGCTTAGCGAAATCACATGTTCACCTTAACTAACCAAACCAATACAAATTTCTTTTCTCTTGGAGCAAGCGACAGTAACACCTGCTTCAAGATAGAGGAGCAATTTCCATGAAGAAGATGAGTTAGGAGATTCTGCTTCTTCAACCCCATCATCTCCAAACAACAACAATTTTTGTATCATATTTTCATCTTCCATTTTGCATCAATGGCTGATCAATCGGAATTGGAGTCGTCGCCTCTCTTGACTCCACCCCCGATCGCCGACGCCACCGAGATCGACCTCGAGGCCGGCCCTGCTGACCAAATTCAGTGCCGAATTTGCCTCGAAACCGACGGTATTTGCCCCCCATTTTCTTCTATTTCTGTTGCCCTTTTCAGGGTTTACTGTTTGTTCCGAATTCTGTTCATTTCGGTTCTGTCAGTAGGTCCTAAAGTTCATATCTTTGTTTCTGAAGAAATTACGAGAAATTATAAAGTCTTAACCTTTTAAGCTTCTCATCTTTAGGGGTAGGCCGTAGGGAAGAATTAACAGAAGTTAGTGGAGAAATGGTATGACTTCAGTTTGAAGTTTTAGCAAATTTAACTATCAATTTGGGGTTCGCCGTGGCTGTGCAATACTGTTTTAGTTGGCACCTCTTGATTTACTAAAAGGAATCTGAGCAACCATGATAAATTTACAATATTTTCCAGCATTTCTCTACATTAAGCTAGTGATGACTCCTTGCCATGTTAGTCACTATGAGCATGTTTGGAGTGTAGGATGGGATTGGATAAGATATAATTCATAGTATGAGATTGGATTGGACTGGTTTTGATAATATAATAAAATTTAATCTCATGATTGGTGTTTCCTTGGACGGGATATAAAATTTATTCTATTCTTAATTAGGTAATAAGTAAGATTATATGGGATTATCTTCATAATTTATATATATAGATAAAAATATCCATAGTTCAAAATATGTAAAAAATTTTAAAGTCACTAAAATTTGTCAACATAAAAATATTTAAAAAATTTCAGTAATTATTAAAATTTATCTACATAAAACTAAATATCTACATAAATCAAAAAATCTGTAAACCTAAAAAACATGTTAATTTATCAAAAAAATTTATTAAATATGTCCACTAAAAAATTTTATTTATATAATATAAAAAGAACTATCCAAAATTAAATTTATCTAAATAATTTATTAAAAAATTATTATATTTAAAATTGAAAAACAAAATTAAAAAAATACATATAACAAGATGTTGGGAGTTCTAGTCATGAAAGGGAGAGAGAGGAGGGCAAGAGTGAGATTTTGTGTAAAGCCCATAAAAATGAAATCCCATCCCACGTAATCCTATGGGGGAGGTGGGATAACTTTTAATTCAGTTGGCTGGGATGGGACAAAGTGTGGGTTATGATTTGTCCAATCCTTATACAACACCAAACGTGGGTTACAGTAGTTTAGGACTAATTTTTATTCAATCCTGGGTTATGTCCGAGCGTCCAAACGTGCAGTATAGGTTGATGTTTTAGCTTTTGAAACTCCTTTTTCGTGTCTACTTCAGGTTATGCAATTTTACTTTTTAACTGCCAAGTACACTTTTGAAAAGGGCATGCTTATTAAACAATGTCCATGCTTAAACAGGTAGAGATTTTATTGCTCCTTGCAAGTGCAAAGGTACCTCAAAGTATGTGCACCGAGAATGTTTAGATCATTGGCGAGCTGTAAGGGTATGGATTTGATTATCTTTTCATTGTGCAAGCTAAAAGTTTGATGGAGTGAACTATAATTGTGCCCCGGTTTTCCCTCTTAGCTATGAATCAGTAGAAAGCTATGTTGAGGATCCTCCAGTGTTAACTGATAGTTCAAATGAATTTCTGTTTCATGTTGTAGTTGCTTCATACAATATTTTCTTAAGAATCTAATGTTATCCTTCTGTTGTCCGCAAAATGAATAGACATCTCAAAAGTGCAAATAAAATCATGTTCTTATTCACTAAATCAGTAAAGGAGGTGGAAATAATCATTGATATTGTATTAAGGTTTAAAATTAGTGCAATTTCACCTCAATGCCTATCATAGTTGGACAATAATAATCTCTGAATATGAATGCAATCCTTGTAAACAGAATAAATTGATAATGATATGAAGTAAGAAAAATTTAGAAATTGGGGATTAAAATGTGGAATTTCTAAATGTTGGCTAGAATTTAGAATCTTCAAAACTGTCGGGCATTCTTGAGAAGATAAATCTTAAAACTCTAGCAAATTATATCTAAGATTAAAGTGCCTGACCTAGATGATTCAAACATGCCTTCCCTTGTGGATTAACCCAATTTTAAGATGCTGTTAGTCTTATGGCAAAACAAGAACCTTGTCTTAAAGTGCTCCCACTTGCAGCATTATGGTGTTCTTGTCGAATCTTTTCTTCATGTGACAGTCTTCTTTGACGTGATGTCTAGCTTCATGTTCTTTGATCTTTGCTCTTTTTTATTTTTCATTAGGCTTGATGTTTTCACCCCACAGGAAACTTTAGCTGTCCTTTCCAATTTTTCCCATGAACTTAGCTACCTTTTAAGGTTATTAAGAGTCTGTATCATAGTACATAGACAAGTGGGACCAGCAATAGGGGCATAGGGGCAAAAAGAAATGTGATCCTCTTGCCATGAAAGGGTTGGTTTTAGCTTCTCTTCCTAGATGAAGTTAATTTGACTTGTATATTTATGTCTCATGGTCATTGGGGCATTATTTCACTAGAAGTTTTTGCAGGAAGGGTTCGCTTTTGCTCATTGTACTACTTGCAAAGCCCCATACTATTTAAGAGTTCAAGCTGCTGCTGACAGGAAGTGGCGAACCCTTAAATTTCGATTCTTTGTGACCAGAGACATTCTCTCTATATTTATGGCTGTTCAGCTTGTAAGTAGTTTGTTCTCCTATCAGAGTTGTTGGTGCAATTACTATTAGCTTCATGAACTGTAAATATATTTTTCAAGTGTCATAATTTCTGTTTCACTATGTTCATTGTCTTCAGGTCATTGCTTCACTGGGATATTTGATTTATTTAATTGATAGTTACCATAACTCATGGCTCCGTCTAGCATGGGGTTTCGATAGTGTGCTCAGTTTCCATTACATATGTGGTAAACTCTGAAGCACCTGAACTGATATCTCGAAAGTTTCTTCAATGTACATGTTTCTTATAAGTCAGTTGTTACTTGTTTACTCTTAAATTATGCTGCTAGAGCCGATGTTTGGGTAACAACTAACATGATATACCCCCATACTAGTCACTCATTTTGTTCTGTAAGAACTGTGGCGATAACTTGATTAATATTCTCAAATAAATTTTCTTGACAGGCAGTTTATATATAGTCCCAACTCCCAAGTTTCTCTGATGGGGCATGGAAACAGAAATTAATAGCCATTGTATCCGGTGCATATGATAGTTACACCGTGGACTGCTGGCATTTTGGTCTTTTGCATGACTTTTACTCCTTTTAGAAGAGTAGCTAAGTGCAAAGTATCTGAAAATCTATATATCCTGATATCCGTCTGTTATGTAATCTCAAATATAAAGCATCATGCATCCCCAACTATTTTACTTAATTTTTCCTGCAACATTCTACAAAAGTTCCAGCTAGGATATCCAATAAACAGACTAATATGATGTCCTTGCAAATTTTACTTTCAAAACTTATGGAGAGTGAGGACTTATTTTTACCTTACCTCTAAATTTCCACTTTTCTGAAGAAGAAATTATTAGTATCTTATCTTTTAGAAACTCCACATTTAGCTTTTTCCAATGCTAATTATTCCATGCAAACATGTTACCACCTAGGGTTGGTGGTGTTATTTCATGAATAATTAAGATACTGTTGAATACAGGAGCACTATTATTTTTTGCTATGCTGGGGTTATCTGGATGCTTCATTACTTGTTATGATAGAAGAGTGCGCAATGATTTGGCACAGCCTTGTCGAGAATTATGTTTGTGTTGCTGTCATCCCGGGTATGATTCTACTTATGTTTTGCAATATTTGACAAAGTTGGTTGACATTAGATGAATCTTACTCTCAGTTTACTGTATTAGCATTAGCATTATTATTGTTGTGCTAAAAAGTCAATTTCAATCTTATGATGATATTGCTCTTTTACAGAAGGCTTGATTTATTTTCCACCATCCAAATAGCATAACTGCTAAGATTTAACTTGTCTCGTCTTTACTTCCTCCATTTTTTATTTGTCTCTCTAAACAAACACAGAGGTGAGAAAGAGAGAACCATAACAAACAAACATGGAAACATGCATATTATGCACATGAGAACCTCAATTTGTCTCTTCAGTCTTTTTAATTAATCACTCAACATTGTGCAATCGCTATTCTTTTTTTCTTTTTTCTTTTTTTGGATAAAATGTGAAATTTTTATTTATCCAAACTGCCTGTGTAGTGTGTACAATATAAGCAGCAAATATGCTGCTACTAGAAAAAAGTATCCAAACAGAAAATACAAGTAACCAATACGCACAAACTTAATTTCACACTACTATTGCTTCAAGCCCCCAGTTGCATGCAATAGGTCTTGGCAATAGTGAGGATTTTGGCCAAACAAATCCCAGAATTTTTTTTCCTTACATCAAACTGGATATCATGAATAACTGCACCCTCTGATCTAAAACTCTGCTGGTGAAACCTTCTATTCCTCTCCATCCACACATGGTAGACAGAGGCATTCCATGTTAACTTGATTAGGGGGTTATATAAAGACTTCCTTTGAATCTTCTTACCCAGCCAATGCAATAGGCTTTGCCAAGAATCGGTAAAAGGTATACCAGTTATAGCACAAAGCTGCTGGCATATATTACTGGTGAAACTGCACTTAAAACACAAGTGATCATTTACTCCATTCAGAATATTATGAATTGACATTTTAGTAATGTGTGCAATAGTTATTCATTTACTCCATTCAGAATATTTGTAGACTTAGAATGATTTTAGTATTTCCATTTTTTTACTGATTTGACATAAAAATCTTTTTGGAAAGAGTCTTATAATTAAATTGATTTTTCCTCCTGTAGAGGGCTCCATTCATAACCTTTTCATGGGCTGTTTTGAAGAGGAAAAGAAAACACTGGTTTCAGACGATTTTTGTTTTTTTAATTGCAGAATCTGTGCTGACTGCCATTTACCTGGCACTATTTGCATGTGGACTGACTGTGCCACATGCTTTGAGAGCTGCACTAGTGCTGTCGGTGAATGTGGTTGCTTGGGAGGTGCTGGCGAAGCTGGGCTACCATTGTTGTTCATAATGGCTTTAATTGTGCTTGGACTATTTACCGTGATTGGCATATTCTATAGTGTTCTGGTGGCTACAATGGTTGGACAAAGGATCTGGCAGCGGCACTATCACATTCTTGCAAAAAGAATGCTGACAAAAGTGAGTTATTTTGATATATTGTCAGCCCTTTTTTTTTTTATGCAATACAGCAACTCTCTGAATTAAACTCAGCAGGTCCCACTTGATCAACTAAGGTAGTTAACTGCTTGCTGCTAGGCTAGATGACTAGGACTCCCCTAGAAATGGCCTCAGGAAGAAATACTTTTCACTTTTTCTCCAGCTTCTTTCTTTGATAAATGGCTTTATAGCACGAGAATTTTCTAATGTAGGATTGCCAAAGTTCTTTTTTCACTTTGTAACATGCACATGCTTATAAATTTGGACTTTGGAAGAAAGATTTTAGATTAGGATAACCAAAGAAGACATAATATGTCTCTGGGCCCAACAAGGTTGCTCTTGCTCACTGGTTTTAGTTTGTCTGCTTGCATTAGTCTGGTTTGCAAATAAATATCAAAGATGCTAGTGATCAACCTATTAGGTCCATTAGTGTTTTGAGTGTTTTCTTCTCAGTTCATTATTTGATAGCAAATTTGCCCTTATTTTTTGGCACAAAACCTTAGATGTAGGTTTTGGGAGCATGGTCCTTGTCAATTTACTAGCTTTATATTGATTTTCTTGAAAGTCATTGATGAAATTTGCTTCCCAAAACTCCACCAAACATTCTGCATCATCATAATTAATCTTTATCTTGTGTTTTGCTTCAACATTCCCCATTAGGAATACGTAGTCGAGGATGTTGATGGTGAGATGTCTGGAACTGATTGGTCTCCTCCACCGCTCCCATCTGAGCATGTCCAGCAGCTGAAATCACTAGGCCTTCTGTGAGTTCTGATACTCTATATAACATCATTGACAACAACAGCATAATGTTTAGCCGGCACCATATTTTGGTATGTCACCCATCACTATAATATGAGCTCATCTATAAACCCCTAAGAAAATAGAAGACGAGAATTTGTATTCAGAAATGTTTTCAGTCCAGCTTGCACTAAAAACATCAGTTCGGGGTTTGAAAATACAAAAATACTCTTAATGGATCAGAGGTGCACAATGTTTCATTAATAGTATTTTTGCCTGTTCCTACCTTGGGCTGATATTTTTAGGTGCAGTCTGTCCTGAAAAAACTGCATTCTGATTTATATATATATCTGTAGTTACATTTGTAACTTGTAAGTCTGTGAATGCTGAGAAACTCTCTTTTTTTTTTTCCTTGTTCCTGTAATTTTTACAATTAGTTATCAAGGAAAACAAAATAACTGATGACAGGTATTTCAATGAGATTTCATAAATATCCATACGTTTTCTGCTATTGTTATTTTCTTTGCTTTATGTTTTTGTAAATTCCATTTAAATCCCTCTGCTGTCATCAATTCGAATTTACTAGGCCTTTCTAGATAGCTTCCGCAACTGAAAGCACATGCTCTGCATGTTAAGAAACATCCGTAATCTCTCCTCCTCCATTACATGTAACAAAGATGGTGGGTGGCCACCGACGGCAGTCAGCAGTCTTGTAACTTACGTTAGGTGGTTAATTATGTGTAAACATGAGATTGAGAAAACCACGGCAGAGTTGATGCCAGTCTTTTTCAGTGCACATGCAAGCTCACCCCCACCACCAGATTCACCCACTTACTGCCATCAAATTATTCGTCTTAAAATCTCAACCGTATGGCGACCACAGAAAAACACACACCGTAAGAAATGTATGATGTCAGATATCTTCAAAACAACCTAATAAACGCACCACCTGTCCTCCTCATCCAGTTATCCTTTCTTGTGAATTCTGACTCTTTCAATAAATACTTATTCCTACCCCATTATTACTCTACGTAAAAACCTTGAAGGGGAGAGAGTTGAACACTAGTTAACTTGCATAATTCTTTCAAATATGGCAGATATTGCCATGAGTCTGTTGATTGCGGAGGATTACAAGAGGAGGGTCAAGAATTCTAGGAAGGAAAAGGATGGTGCGGAAAGAGAAGAGGGTCCGGTTGGCTTGGTCTCCTTTGTTTCTGTCTTGGCTGGGAGGATCAGAGCCAGAATTGGACACCAGACTGTGGAGGTTGTCGAGAGGTGGTTAGAGCCAAAGAGCCAAATTGCAGTTGCTGCCTGCAATGGCTTCTTCTCTGCTCGAATTTTCTTCCTGTGTTTCTGATTGTTGTTCTGAGTTTGTAGATAAAGAAGAAAAGAAAAAGTTTCCTTTTTTTTTTAAGTAAACAATCATAAATTCATCGATAAAGGAATGAAGTAGATCAAGTAAACCTATAATAAGCACCATGTAGGCAAATATATTAAAAAAGAGAATAGAGATTATACAACAGGGACCCTCAAAGAGAGGGAAAAAAAAGAAGAAAAGAAAAAACCTCTCTTTAAGAGAGAAACCTTCACGAACAAGGATCTTCCACCTTTTGTTTGTTCTCCCCCAACTACTGTAGGGGAGAGAGATTGTAACAGCTAGGGAAAAAGAAAAGGGAAAAAGACAGTGTGATAGTTATGGGAGGGGAAAACAGAGGCGCTAAACCATTAACTCTTGCTTTTGCTTTTCCTTTTCTTTTAGCAACATTAGATATCCGAACCTTTCATGAAAATCAAATCATGACATGATTTTCTACTACTCTGATGATGCTTTCTGGCCTGCAGATTGAGACTTAGTTGATAGGTGATGTTATTATCACATCTTCAATTAATAATATCATTTTTTTTATTTAAATTAATTATTTTATTTTTAATTTATTAATAAATAAAAAAATATAATATAAAGATATAATAGATAATCACATTACAATGGTGTGTTATTAACAATAAAGTATGACAAGTAATCCCACCCTTAGGTGATGCAAACATATATACATATGTGTATATATGGAAGAGACAACCAAAAATGACAATAATATATTCCTGAGAATCTGAAATTTATTTGCGGAGGAATAGCAGATACTGCCTTCAAAAATTAATGCCTCAATTGATTTTGTGGCAAATTTAAGCTCAGAAACTAGATGATCTGATAATTGATAACGATAATTCTAGCTCTATCATTAGGGCAGTTGCACCTGGTGAACCAAGGCTAAAGGGCCAAACAGGAAAACATATTCTATAGTCCTCTGAACACTGATCCATAGCTAATGCAAGAGTACAGTTAACACATGCTCACTAGAATTTCAAAATTAATCATTGCTTTATGATTGTGGTTGGGAATCAAAATAATTCAACCACCAGCTGTCCCTAACATTAAACATGATCACTCACATATCACAATCACCCCAATTGCCCCAAACGCAGTCGCCATCATAAATAGCCACTTCATACAACATTGAAAAGAATAGGAACGGAACCATATTGTCACTAATATCCCTTTGTCGTCTAACTTTCCAGTGGAGAGATGCAAGATACAATACCTGGTACCTACACATGTTGTTTAAAGTTTAACATCTAAAGATCAAGTGGTAGACCTTGTATCAGACTGCTAATAGAAACCCAAAAGCTGAAGCCAAAAATGTTGATCAAATCCATTCTCACTGACATCTTTCCACATGAGCAAACTCTATGACTGCACCTAACATGAGAAACGTTTAACTCATTTGTGAGGCGAACTACAATGAGAGTTTTCCAGGAGTACTTTAGGAAGAAAAGGGTTGGATAACCAACAATTTTAAGAAAAAATGATTCTAACCTAAACTGAAACACAATAGTTATCTTGGGATGCATTAGTTAGATGCAGTACAAGTGATATCAACGACAATATATAGTTACTTGATTAAGTTTTGTACGTCCAGCATCAATTGAGTCTTTCAATACTCTTCACCCACCAACTTAAACAAATATTGCCAGGTATTGAAGAAATGTCTTTTTTAAAGTTATCAAGGTTACCTACTTATGGGGCTCATTTTTCTGCCACGAAGGCAGAAGAGGATCCCTTCCAAATTAAGTATCTGTCTCCTAAATATTTATGATGTAATCTCAAACACATACAATTTGATAATCCCTTCCAAATTAAGACCCATGAACCCTTTTTAATACCCATCACAATCACCATATATATCAAAAGATAATACAATAAAAAATTCTCGGACATAATCTTCAAAACCAAGGAACTTCAACATACAATTAGGCATGAACTAGACTAGAACCCAGACCAAATTGCTTCATTTTTTTTTTTCTAAACGAAATTCAATACAGACAGATACGCATAGGATAACTAAAAGCTACATCACAATTCACCCTAGAAAACAAGGAAATTATACAAAACTCTTGTACTTATATATATGTTCAACAAGTATTCATGTTTGCAACAGCCCAGAAAAATAAATTCAGTATACAATTAGTAAGTAACCCCAGAAACAAATCAGAAAAATCTATGTATACTATTGCTATGCAATGCAGTTAACATGTGCATAATATCCTCATCACTCCCATCATATACCTCATTTTGGCTGCGAAAATTAGCCACAATCTCATCGGGCAAAACCTTAGTCCTGCAGAGAGGGCAAGTGGCCCAAAACTGTTGCAGCCATTCGTCCAGGCAATCCCTATGGAAAGTATGGTTGCATTTCAATCTCCTCACTTTTTCCCCTTCCTCAATCTCCGACAAACACACGATGCATTCATTCGGTTCAAGCTTCGATCTTTTGGAGTAACGAATTGTGGGGTTCTTCTCCTCGATGAATTTAAGGTACTGGGTACTGTTGATCTTAGGTTTCCTGGAGTGGAACCCGGTGACTGACTGGACCAGCATCACGAGCTCCAAAATCATGATGGTGAACAAGACTAAGGTGATGGTGTAGAGGTGGGAGAAGAATCCAGAGATGGCTGCCATGGCTGCTGAGGGAGAGAAGGTGCTGATGGGTTTGGGATGCATAAGGATAAAGTTTCGAACTTTGCGTTTGAAGAAACAGTTGTGACTTCTGAGTCTAAATCATTTAATTCAGGGAAATGTTGTTGTCGTCCTTGTGTGAATTTTGGATGAGGCTGATGATGATTATTGCAATCAAAACCTAATTATTTACTCTTCCGGACGCCTTGTTACTCCTTCGGTTTACAAAAGATTAGTCTTTTAACCTTTTTTTAATGTAATTTTAAAAAATATTTTTTTATAAGAGTAATACATATGAATAATAATTAAAAATTTTATTTTATTTAATAAAAATAATTATAATTATTATTTATTTATTATAAAAAAAATTACTTAAAAGTAATCACGGGCAAAAAAATGAAATGGTTTATATTTTGGAATGGGGAGTATGTACTTTACTTACCACAATTAAATAAATAAATAAATAAATAAAATTTATAAAAACACACTTATTATTAATTAACATTTTATATTTATCTTTATTAATGAGAGTAATTAGGAAGTTGGAATATATTCTTTTTAAAAATGAAGTAATTATTTCATAGAAAAAAAGAATAAAATAATTATTAGCAGAAGCAAAATTTAAAAGAAACTTTATTCTGTATTAAAAATTGAAATTGAAGACTAAATTAGACTATATATTTTTTAAAAGTGTAATAATTAAAATAGACTAGTACCATAGGTGTTACTATTGAATTATTACTTCTAATTTAAAAAACCTTATAAATAAGGGTTTAAATAGCACATAGGCCTCACTGTCCAACGGTCTTGTAAGGTGCACCCCCAGCCCGAGGGTTGGGGTTCGATTCCCCCCTCTCTCAAAAAGTGTAACTTTGTTCAAAAAAAAAAAAAAAGGGTTTAAATAAGTCTAGAATGATTTTAATGGCACATATGTTTAGTGGACAAATCTCCTTGAACATTCCACTAATTTGAATCTTAACTTAGTAGGTGCTTAAAAGTACATAGACATGTTTTTTAGTAGACCAAACCCTGACATGTATTAATAGAGAGAGAAGATAAAGATGAAGAGAAGATATTAGTGATAAAGTAAAAAAAAAAAAAAATTAACTTAAGACATGACAATAGAGTTAAAACGAATAAAATAATTAATACACCTTGAAAATTAAAAAAATAAAAATTTAATTTGACACAAAATTTTGGTGAAGACCAAAAGTGCCTTAATCTAATTCCCTGGAGAAATTATTGAGAAATTACTATGTTAATTAATTATTTAAAAACAAAATTAAGGAAAATTAAATTTTCCTTTTGAATATTACAAATTAGAGTACGTGTCTAAGGGGAATCGTGTGTTGCTCAGCAGTCTTCATTTCTTCTAACGCTTAAGGCTACATTATGTAATAAAAGAAAAGGGAAATTAAAATTTCTTTTGAATACTACAAATTAAAGTACATGTTAAGGGGGGTGAGTGTTATTTAATTAGTATTTTTTTCTTTTTTGAACGGATTACATTGGGGGTGGGATTCAAATCCTAGTTATTTAATTAATTTTTTAATGTACTTTAGTGTACAAAAAAAAAGAAAAAAAACTAGTACTTTAAACTTAGACCATTCTAGTTTTTTTTTTTTTTTTTGACAAGGGTAATGGTTAGGAAGTTAGTAGAGTTAGTTTGTTAGCAGTTGAAATTTCTTAGAACAGTAAACATTCCACCCCTTCATATAAGGCGCGCGGGCATTAGATCGTAAGTTGATGAAGTTCGCGGCGGTAGCAAAGCTCGAAACCCTGATTTCCGCCTTACCTAAGCCCTAAGACTCGGGACCAACCATTAGGCCTCAGGTCCGGTTGGCCAGACCATTCTGGTTGATTTCACCAAAATTGGTCTTAAAACTGTTACCGGTTAAGGTATTAACTTAATAGTAGTCAAAACTTGGTCAATAATAAGTAAATCAGTTGAACTCAATAAAAATCAATCAAAACTCAAATAGTTTATAGTTTTTATTTTTTTATATTTATAAAATTATAGATAAATATAATAATTAAATTTTAATTTCGATTTAAATGTAATATAAATCAATTTTTAAAATAAAATTAATTTTGACTTAAATTCCTCTTTTAAGTTAAAGAATGAAATTAATTTGAAATCAAATCAATTCCATCTTAAAAATAAAATATATGACTACTTTAATCAATGAAATGAATGAAATAAATTTAAAATTAAAATTAATCTCAAGCAATTTTGCAAATAAAATCAATAAGAAATAATTTTAGAATTAATATAACATTAATGCTTTATGTGGATAATAAAGCAAAAATACATTAGATATTTTAATAAATTTAAAGAATAAATTAATTTGAAATCAATCAATTTTGGAAATGCAATGAATTTTGAAAATAAATTCTTC